ACACACACACACACACGCACACACACACACACACACACACACACACACACACACACACACATTGATTCATTGGTTCATTCATTCATTTTCCTTCAACTCAGTCATTTTATTAATCAGGGGTCGCCACAGCAGAATGAATTGCCAACTATTCCAGCATATGTTTTCCACAGCGGATGCCCTTTCAGCTGCAACCCAATACTGGGAAACACCCATACACTACGGCCAGTGTAGTTGATCAGTTCCCCTATAGCGCATGTGTTTGGACTGTGGGGGAAACCGGAGCACCCGGAGGAAACCCACACCAACACGGGGAGAACATGCAAACTCCACACAGAAACACCAACTGACCCAGCCGAGACTCAAACCAGAGACCTTCTTGCTGTGAGGCCACTGTGCCACCCACTGTACCACCGTGATGCTCGTCATTTGCTATTATTGTGTGTGTAGTCACAGTAAACAGAAAGCACATTGTACACCCATCCTCATAGTTTGACTATAAATAAATAATAAAGTCTATTAAAGCATAATTAAATAAGCTCTAAATGATATTGAAATAGTTTGTGTCCTGGTCTGGTCATGTGGATGTGTGTATACAGCGGCAGAAGTGTGTAATTAGCTGTGTAAGCGTGTGTGTGTGGCTCAATCAGCAGCTCTGGCAGCTCCGACATGCTGCTGTATTTGTTAATTCATTCATTCGGCACACAGAACACAGCAGACATCAGACGATTACAACACCGAGCAAACACCCGCTCAGCGCCACTGATCATCAGCATCCATCACTGATCATCGCTCACATATTAGACATCTCCTCCAGTGCTTTGAGCATGTTTCACATAATCTCACCTGAAACATGAAGAGAGGGCGGGGCATACAGTAGCTCCTCCCCTTTTATAAAAACAGCCAGTTGCTTTGCGTTCTTCTCACAGCTCTGCCAATGAGAGCTCAAGTGTAATCAAATGAATAGGCAATGAGAAGAAGGGGGCGGGGCATGTCAGACACTAGAGAGCATTTGATTGGTCAGAAGATTTGATGAGAAATGAAGTATAAAGAGACGATTATAGAGCACCTGTTATGCAGAAATGTGTTTGTTCTAATCAGACTTGATGCAGGAACACTTTGATTGACATTCTCCCTTTTGTACGTGTCATCAGAGAGGGAAAGCCCCGCCCACTAGTGCCCATCTCTCCATCTCATTAGCATAAACAGCAGCCCTGAGTGAGAAGCAGCCGTCTGTCCATTAGCCATTAGAGTGTTTCAGCATAGACTAAGAGCACTTTTAGCTTAGCTTAGCATAAATCATTGAATCAGATTAGACCGTTAGCATCTCACTTTCAAAAAAGGTTTCAATGTTTTTCCAATGTAAAGTCAGCGTGAAATGTACAAAGAACGCTGGTTTAAGTCTCGGCTGGGTCAGTTGGAGTTTCTGTGTGGAGTTTGCATGTTCTCCCCGTGTTGGCGTGGGTTTCCCCCACAGTTCAAACAAATGCGCTGTAGGGGAACTGATCAACTAAACTGGCCGTAGTGTATGTGTGTGAATTAGTGTGTATGGGTGTTTCCCAGTACTGGGTTGCAGCTGGAAGGGCATCCGCTGGGTTAAATATATGCTGGAATAGTTGATGGTTCATTCTACTGTGGCGACCCCTGATGAATAAAGGGATAAAGCTGAAGGAAAATGAATGAATGACATTTCCTTTGTTGACGTCAACTTGAGGGTTTCTATAGAAACTGTATATTAATATCCTTAGCAACGCCTCTCTTATCATTAGTTTGCTATGAGGGAATAATGTTAAAAGAAAGCCATGTATGTGTGTGTGTGTCTGTGTATGAGTGTATGTATGTATGTATGTGTGTCTATGTATTAATGTGTCTATGTGTGTGTGTGTGTGTGTCTATGTATTAATGTGTCTATGTGTGTGTGTGTGTGTGTCTATGTATTAATGTGTCTATGTGTGTGTGTGTGTGTCTGTGTATGAGTGTGTCTATGTATGTGTGTTTGTCTATGTATTAATGTGTCTATGTGTGTGTGTGTGTGTCTGTGTATTAGTGTGTGTGTGTCATCAGTGTGCGGCTGCAGATGTGCTGAGTGCCCAGTTTCCATGGGAACATCTTCATCTGTGCAGAGTTCATTCAGTCCGATATGAGTGTCATATTTGTGTGTTCTTCACACACACACACACACGCACACGCACACGCACACGCACACGCACACACACATACAGAGCTGTTCTAACTGGCAGAGACTCAAAGTTGTGATTATTTAATCCTGTAGAGGAGACAACATGACTCTTAGTTCTTCATCACATCACAAACACAGCTCTTGGGATGTATTCTATACAGTTTTCTGACATCACTGATCATATTCAGACCTTAGTTTCCACTTCCAGACACAACTGCTAACTGTCGATACATGCAAAAGTCCGACTTACACAAATATTTCTCATTTCCAACACACAGAAGACTGAATATGTGAGGTTTAGCTGTGGAAAACGACAGCAGGACCATCTCTGGGGAACTCCAGAATCAAACTCATTCATTTTCCTTTGGCTTAGTAACTTATTTATCAGTGGTCACCACAGTGGAATGAACCACCAACTGTTCCAGCATCTTTTACGCAACGAATGTTCTTCCAGCTGCAACCCAGTACTGGGAAACACCCGTACACACTCTACAGACAATTTAGTTGATCAGTCCCCCTATAGCGCATGTGTTTGGACTGTGGGGGAAACCAGAGCACCCGGAGGAAACCCACACCAACACGGGGAGAACATGCAAACTCCACACAGAAACACCAACTGACCCAGCCGAGACTCAAACCAGAGACCTTCTTGCTGTGAGGCCACAGTGCTAACCACTGCAGAATATAACTTTTAATGTGACCTTAATATTGACTTGCTAATGTGAATTTTAATCAACTATTTAATCAATGAATGTGGATGGCATTACAGCTAACCAGATCAACTGACTGTGTTGTAGAGCAATGCTGCCATCTGCTGACACACACACACACACACACTTACAAATAATCAAAAATATGAAAACAAAATCCACACAAATAAATAAAGCATGAACGAGTAAAGAGTAAAACACAGGAATGTTTTCAGCACATCAGAAGCTTTATTGAGCATCACAAACTGTCCAGTCCATAATAAAACAGATTCATCATCATAGTTTGACCAATACACTTATTATTGAGAGCAGAAATCTTTATTCTTCAGCACTGTCCTTCAAAAACACATAAGATCTTTACAATTTCTAACAGAATCACATTTATGGTCAATACTGTCTGGTTTCCACTGAGTGGTACAGTATGGTTCGGGTCGGTACGGGTCACCTTTATCAGGCTTGCGTTTCCATCACCAACGTTACCTTTAGGTGGGCGAGGTGAATGACAAAGTTTCAGTCGACGTCATGCTCGCTCGAATAAATGTCTACAGTAAAGCTGTACGCGTCGCTCACATATCATATGAGCAGCACTTCTCACAACACAGATGCTTTATACACACACACACTCGTGTATAAATGTTTATTACTGACGTTTCTCTGAACATGATTATAACTGCAGACTTCTTCTTGGCTTTGTGGCTGTTCATCAAGATGACAAGGTTTGATTGAGCCTGGTCGACCATGGCTTGTTATTATATGTATATATATATATTTACACAGTAAAAGATCTCTCGGCTGTGTGTTTTAAACATGGCGGGCTTTTGTTTTCATTCTGGCTTGTTGCATAAGCGGATGACGTATCTCTGTAAACCAATAGCATTCAGCTGTGCGTCTGGCTCCGCCTTTTGGTACCCTTTCTTGAGTCACTCTTCAAAAGGGTGCCAAAATAGTGGTTCGGTACGCCTTTTGACAGTGGAAACGGCCATAAAAGCGCACCAAACTGCACCACTCAGTGGAAATGAGCCATTATTGTGAGACGTATTTTAATAAGTGCAGCTCAGAATATGAGCTTTAATTCACCGTGATTAATTTATCCATTATTATGTATGAAGATGGACATAATTGCAGGGTTATTTGATATTTTCTGTACATTTCTTTGAACCATTATTGATAAATTACACAAGAAATAGACAACGGGCTGATGATTTATTAGAAAAATGATACACAGCTGAAATGGTGATGCCGTTACCCCTCAGGTGTATATTATTCTCTAATAATCCACCATCCCGCATGCATTATTCTGCTTAAACCAGTTTTTTTTAGATGTTGCATTTCATTTTTGTGTGTGTGTGTGTGTGTGTGTGTGTGTGTGTGATCCTGCAGATGTTCACATGATTGACAGAGGAGCAGATCATCCACACGCAGCAGGAACACAGTCACCTGAAGACAGAGGAGAAAAGACAGAAACTGCATGAATGAATGGATTAATGACTCAATGAATGACTAGATGAATGATTAACAGATGGTTAAACGAATGAACGAATGAATGTATACATTAATGAATGACTGACTGAATAAAGTTACGGATGAAGATTTGAACAAATAGATGGATGAATGGTTGGATAAATGCATGAATGACTGAATCAACTGATAAATTAATGAGCAAATAAATGGATTAATGAATGGATGAATAGATGGATAAATACATTAATAGATATATGCTGAAATAATGGATAAATGAACAGGGCAACTGAATGGATAAATGAATGGGACAAATTAACAGATATATGGGTGAATGAATGGATGAACAAATGATTAAATGGATGAATGAATATATAGATATTTTAGTATCTAAAAAGGATTGGATGAATGAATGACTAGAGAAATGGATAAATAGATGGTTGAATGAATGGATGGATAAATAGATGAATGAATGAATGAATGTGCAGATGAATGAATGACTAATGGTTCATTAATGAGGGAATGAATGGATGAATGTATAGATGCATGAATAAGACTGACTGGATGAATGTAGAAATTAATAATTGACTGACTGACAGAATAAATGTATGGATGGATAAATATGAACCAGTAGATGGATGAATTAATGAATAAACAGATGACTGAATCAATGGATAAATTACTCAGCAAATAAACTGATGAATGAATGAGTAGATGGATGGATGAATATTTGAACAAATAGATGGATGAATGATTGGACATATACATGAATGACTGAATCAATGGATAAATTAGAGCAAATAAATGGATGAGTGAATGGATGAACGAATATATGGATAAACAGATGAATGACTGAAATAATTGACAAGTGAATGGGCAACTGAATGGATGAAAACGTACGGACTAATAGATATATGGGTTAATGGATAAATGGATGATTGAATAGATGAATGAATGAATATATTATTTAATTATCTAAAAAATGGTTGGATGCATGAATGGATGAATGACTAGATTAATTAACTAGGTTAATTTAGTGGGTGAATGAACAGATGTATCGATGACTGAATGAGACTGACTGGATGAATGTATAAGGCAAGCTTATTTCTATAGCACATTTCATACACAGTGGCAATTCAAAGTGCTTTACACAAACAGAAATAAAAGAAACAAGTAAAATAAAAATAAAAACAAATAATAAAAATGCTTAAAAACAAAACAAAACATAAAAACATGTAAAATGTGATATAAAAGAATGAAGAAGAAGAGATAAACATGATAGTGCAATCTGCAATAAATGAATGACTGAATCAGATTATGAATGGATAAATAATTGAACAAATGGATGGATGAATGAATGATTGGATGAATAGATGAATGAGTGTGTAGAAGAATGAATGACTGAAATAATAGACAAATGAATGGATGAATGAATGAATAAATAGATACATGGATGAATCAAGGAATAAATGGATGAATGGATGAATGGATATACATTTAATTATCTAAAGAGTGATTGGATGAATGGAGCTCAGACTGAGATCAGCACTGCTTTCTTCACACTGCGAGGGATTCGCGTGTCAGTTTGCGCAGTGGACTAGTCATCATTGACCACCATCATGAACGTAATATTCAACAGCTGTTTTACATCAGCCTATTGTTATGAGCATTGTGGAATAATTCATAAATGCTTAATGAAAATTAATTAAGAAAACACACTCCAGGGTCACATTTAGTTTCAGTGAAATCATAAAATATGAAAGTTAATGTTCTTAATAAATGAATACTGTTGTTTTGGATGTAGCACATAACTTCCAAAAACAAACAAATAAATAAGCAAATATAGAAATAAATGAGTAAATAAATCCATAAATTACTGTATAAATAAAACAACAAATGAATAAATGTATATATAAAATCCACAAATTCCTGCATAAATATATAGATGATAAATAAAGCAGCCAGATCAATAATTAATTAAACTACACGAATGGTGACGGAATAAGAAAATGCTGAACTGAAGGTGTATTTCCCTGCCTTTCAAACGTTTATTCCAACCCAGGCTCATTCTTAAAACGTACCTCTATATACATTTCTGAAGACTGTGAAATACGTCCCAGGGGCTATGAATCCACCAGAGGGCGCTGTGTGTGCTTTTTTAGATCGCAAATTTCTCTCGCAAGTGACATTCACACCTGCTGTTCTCACGTAAATCCTGTCTGACTGACTGTCGACTGACTGTTTGACTGACTGAATGACCAATCGACTGACTTAATTGATTTTAAATTGACCCGCCCACCGACTTCCCTAAACCAAGCCAACAATATTCAAAAGCAGTGCACAAAAGAAAAACCCTCGCCTGATTTTACCACATTTTACCAAACCCTCACCCTGTTATTAACTTGTTTACTTCTTTTTTTGGATTCTGCTTTTGTCTTACCATACGGAGGCAAGCGGTCAGCTGATAACTGCGAAAAGGAACGGCGCCATGTGTAGCGCTTATTTACAAAATGAAACACAGCCATACGCACCTCTGGCTACATAATTTGCGCTCTCCAGAAACGTGTATAGGGCTACGTTTTCAGAAAGAGCCTGTGTTGGTTTACTTATTATTGAATGCTGTTGCGCATTTACTTTTCCCCAGGCCACTATGCTAATCAGAGGCTGTCTGTCAGTCATTTGAAGGCGGTCTAAAAATTTAATGCAAATTTTTTTCTAACGATCAACCAATGATGGCATAAACACCGCCTTCTGCTGATTGACAGACAGCCTCTCATTAGCATATTGACCTTCATTAGTGAATAAACGTTTGAAAGGAGGGAAATACACTTTCAGTTCAGCATTTCTATCCCGTCACCATTCGTGTAAGTTATTTAATTATTGACCTGCCTGCTTTATTATCTAGATATTTATTTAAGCAGGAATCTGTGGATTTTATATATACATTTATTAATTAAGTTATTGTTTTATTTATGCAGTACTTTGTGGATTTATTTACTCATTTATTTCTATATTTGCTTTAGTTTTTGGCTCCACACAGATGGAGAACGCGAGGTCAGTTCACAGAACTCCACCAGATTACGATAGTTGTTTAAATAAATCCTCTTTAACACAGTGATCGAGTCTTTGTGTAATTAATTGGCTCTGCAGATCAACTAGATTCAGATTTTTAGTATTTTTCCTCGTTTATTTACCTCTCTGCTGGACTCTTCTCCCACGCGGATCTTCTCCTCCCGCCACACCGGAAGACGTTCATCCGCTAACAGCACAGTTCCGGGTAAAGTTTTGATGGGATACAGCTGCGGATACTCATATAATTCTTGTGAGACTGTACAACAATAATTAATATTTTGACTTTACTGTGACGGTTAGGTGTAGAGTTTGGGTTAATTTAATGGATAATTTAATAAACAATATGTATAATGCTCGTCACCTCTGGCCGCAGCTGTATCCCTTCTAAAAGAGACTTCATAAATTACAGAAGGATTAAGCAGTTTTTGGAGATTACGCGCTACTTATTTAATAACTCACACTTTTGTTATGTTTATATTTAAATATGCTTATCATTAGATTAAATGTAGAGCATTACGAGGAGGATTTGCGTTATCGGCTCTGCCAGCCAGAGATGTTCATATCATAAGAAGACTGCGGCCTCAAGGAGAAAACACGGGTCACGTGTTGCTCGAGAACCAATCAGCTCTGGCGTCGCTGAACGGAAATGTTCCGCTGATTTAAAAATTTATTTTATTTTAGGGATTGAAGTAGTGATGTTTGAGTGGTAGAACATTAAATAATTCAAGAATAAGTAAATAATTAAATAATTTAAAGAATTCAACCCTGCCAAAAATAAATAAATAAATAATAATAAATAAAAAAAAAACAGTTTAAACCAGCCTAGGCTGGTTGGCTGGTTTTAGTTGGTTGACCAGCCTGGTTTTAGAGGGGTTTTCGCCATTTCCAGCCTGGTCTTACCTGGTCAGGCTGAAAAAATGACCAACTAAATCCAGCTTAAACCAGCTTGACCAGCCTGGTTTAAGCTGGACATAGCTGGTTTTAGCTGGGCTCCCAGCTTGGCTAACATAACCATGTTCCGTACAGATGACCCTTTAACGTCAATCTCTGAATAAATACTTATGGGTCGTAGACAAGCTATATATTATAAAAATGTTTAGTTGATCCATCCTGGCTTACAAATGATAATTCACCAATACACTCCCACATGAATAGTAATCTATGCAGTTGTTTTAGAAATAGACATTGCTTTAATTCACCTGAATGTCATCTTCACTTTTTAAGGTTTTTAGTTTGTTCCAATTTGACAGACTAACTCACTACTGAAGGCATTTTGCCAATACAGTGTCTAGGAAAGCTCAAATGCACAGCAAATAGAACAACACTAACATATTGAGAAAACAGCACTGTAGCACAATCAATATGTGAATTTAGATTTGATGCTGTTTATTTCTAAATCTGTATAGTTAATTTGGCTTTCATAATAAAAACCTATTGATTTTAGTTTATTTTAGATTCTAAAGCACTTTTGTGTCTCTCAGGTGAATGGAGTGCAGGCTGCATGCTTCTCTAGTCGTTGTTTACTTCTGCTTGTTTGTTTTTATTACACACAACACACGTTATGTTATACATTTAACTAACTTTTTAAAGAATCTAAATATTAAAAAAAAACTTCAAGGATTTAAGAGGCTGATGACCGTCATAACAGTATTGTGAAATGACTTCATTGACAAAGAAAGAAAGATTCTGTAGTCTCGCCTCTCTCAGCGGCTCTGGCACTGCAGTCTCACGACAGACGTGAACGTTTTCCGGCAGATCCTGTGGCTGAGAGGTGAGCACGAGTTTACTTATTTATCTTTAGAATCACACATGAGGATTAATAAGGCATAAACAGCGCTGCAGTGATCAAGTTCAGACTCTTAACAGATCTGCTGGAGCTCAATGCACACCCGCACAGATGCTCATCATGAGTTACTCACTGTGGCGAATGTGAACGTCTAATATACACTAATTAATGACTTTACGATAATTAATTTCCCTATTACGTCAAAAACCACACTTTTACAGCGTATGAACACGTTATGTTAAACTTTACTGCTGTGAAGCTCCGTATGACAACTTCACTATGGTATATGCAATATCATGATACATAACCAGAGTTAATCAACTGTGATTATACAGTGGTGAATATGTCGACAAGCATGCTCAATACTCTTTTACTACAGTAATACATCTATAGAATAGAGTAAAGCATGGTGTATTTGTGTTGTTTAAAGGTGTAACTACACTAACCATAGCACACCATACTGAAAACACAGCTAAAACCAGCCTATTCTGGTTTTAGAGGGCTTTTGGCCATTTCCAGACTGGTTTCCAGCCATTTCCAGCCTGGTCTTAGCTGGTCAGGCTAGAAAATGACCAGCTAAAACCAGCTTGACTAGCCTGGTTTAAGGTGGACACAACTGGTTTTTGGCTAGGCTGGTTAAGCTGGTTTTAGCTGGTCATCATCTCCCAGCCTGACCAGCTGTAGCTTATAAGACCAGTCTGGAAATGCCTGGAAACCAGTCTGGAAGTGGCCAAAACCCCTCTAAAACCAGCCTGATTGACCAGCTAAAACCAGCCTAGGCTGGTTTAAGCAGTTTTTTCAGTAGGGTAACCCTTGTTACTATAATGTTACTACAGTGAAATCGTTGTTGTCTTTGTCTAATGTTGTGTGTGTGTGTGTGTGTGAAATTGTGTTTGTTTGTTTATCAAGCTGTTGTGTTTGTGTTTTTCTCCTGTGTGTGTGTTTGTGTGTTGTGTGTGTGTTGTGTGTGTGTGTGTGTGCAGCAGCTGATGTTCACTGATGCAGGATCCATCAAGATCTTCTGTCTGGTGAGTCTTCATCACATCTTCCCATGATGATCTGTGTGTGTGTGTGTGTGTGTGTGTGTGTGTGTGTGTGTGTGTGTTTAAAACAGAGTTGTCCAGTGTTGTACAGTGAAACAGAAACTGGTGTTGGAGCTCAGTAGTCGATCAGCTGGTGTAGCTCCTTCTCCTCAGTCCAGCATCAGCTGCTGTAGTGAATGACAGACTCGAGTCCTGTGAGGGGTTGTGAGCGGTTCTTCTTCAGAATAGTGTTCAGGTCACTGCTGATGCTGCTGGAGGAAAACCTTTCCTGACTCGCTCCTCCAAAACACCCCAAAGTGCTCAATAATGTTTACTCTGGGTACTGTGCAGGCCATGGGAGATGTTCAACTTCACTGTCATGTTCATCAGAGCGCTCTGTCTCCAGTCCTGCTGTGTGTGTCGCTGCATCATCATCCTGACACACACCAGCCTCAGGATACAGTGTTTGACCCACTGGGTCACATGATGCTTCAGAATGGTTGGGTAGTTCTTGGTAGTGACCCAATGCCCATCTAGCACCAGTATTAGGCCTCTGGAATGCCATGTTATGTGGCCAAACCATCAGTGACCCCCCCCATGCTTCACTGTGGGCATCAGTAGTCAGGGTGGGCCGCTTCTGGAGGAAGCTCCCCAGACAAATAGTTTTAGTGGAAGCATATATTTGTGTGTGTGTGTGTTTGTGTGTGTTCAGATGATGTTGTCTGCTATACCTGATGGTGTGTGTGTGTGTGTGTGTGTGTGTGTGTGTGTGTGTGTGTGTGTGTGTTTGTGTGTGTTCAGACGGTGTTGTCTGCTCTTCTGATGGTGTCAGTGTTGCGCTGGTCTGGATTGCGGATGTTCTCGATGGCGTCTCAAACATATTCTTCCGGCACACATTCAGCAGCGTTCGTCACCTGCCCCAACGACACCGTGGCCAAACAGCTCGCCAGGTACAGAAAATGACAAAAACTCACATATACACACACACACACACACACGTTTGCAGATACAGACTGAAAGA